ACCTTCATTGTATCCTCTACACCTTGCAAAGGGCCTAACATTTATTAATGTTAGGAACTTGCATTTTTGTGAACTAGTCTACTCAAACACATTAGCTATCCTTTCTGTAAATAGACTGGGTATATGGTATAAATACATACATATGAAAAGGACATTCACAAAATTAAGGATTATTTTAGAGTCTATCATAAACTGATATTGTTTGAATGACTAATACTACTTTTCACCCCTCAGAAGAGAAGTTACACAGAAATACCAACAAGAAAAATCTAACCACTCTAAGCAAATTCTCCTCTATCTGCCAAGCAATATGTTAACTGATGCAATGATTTATGAATAAGTAGAAAAGATTTATGAAAGGCAACAATCCTTTGGCATACTGCCAAAAAGGTAGCAGTACTGTCAACTTCTATGGAAAAATACTTTAAGTTACCTTAAGTCCTTGCTCCTTGCCCAGTACCTGGCATTTAATGAGAGTTCAATAAATACAATGGTGTATGCCAACTGTTTTCATAAAGCTAAGAAACTTTCTAACTGAACACCAGATAGTTTAACCATCAGCTTATCTTTAAAATATTTCATGTTATAACAGACACAGGTTTAAGAATAGAAGCTGGCATTAAAGTCTTAAACAAACAACAGAGGGAAGCCTAAATGCTGTATGGGAAACTGTTAAACTAGCAAGGAGAAATGTTTTTAACCTTTTCTGAGGTTAACCTCTAGATTGCTAAGAATCAACAGTTGCACACAAACCAAACTAGCACACTGGGCTCTTAATTGAGCACACTCTTAAACCTTTTAGTTACCAAAGGTATTGTCAAAACAGCCCAAGAAAATACCAGTATTAACTGCACTTTTTAATTTTTTTTTATTTTATTTATTTTTAGAGAGGGGGAAGGGAGGGAGAGAAACATCGATGTGTGAGAGAAAACATCTATAGGTTGCCTCTTACACGTCCCCTACTGGCCCACAACCCAGGCATGTGCCCCGACCAGGAACCGAACCAGACGCAAGCATTCAACCCACTGAACCACACCAACCAGAGCATAACTGAACTTTTTTAAAAACTGAGAAAATAGGAGAGCAATTTATATCCACTCTTTACTGATGACATATGGAAGTAATTTAAATACCAGTTCTCTTCCTCCACCCCTCAAAAATGGACCAAGCATGTATTTTAAACTAACAGAAATAACTTAGTTGAAAGCTCTACTTTAGTAATAAAATTTCTAGAAAACGTGCCATTGAGATCTTTTTAAAAAAATTTAGCTCTGGCCAGGTAACTCAGTTGGTTAGAGCATGAACTTGATACACCAAGGTTGCAGGTTTAATCCCAGTCAGGGCATACACAAGAATTAATCAATGAACACATAAACAAGTGGAACAAATCAATATTTCTCAAAAATTTTAAAGCCAAAGAAATGGAAAAAAGTTACATATATAGATCCCTTGATTTTGTAAATATTCATTTTTAATTATAATTGACAGACATTATATTAGTTGCAGTTATACAACGTACTGACTCAACTTTTATATACCTTACAAAGTGATCACCACAAGAAGTCCAGAAAGCATCTGTCACTGTACATATGTAAGTCACTGTACATAATGATACAACTTACTCTATTCCCTATGCTGTATATTACATCCCTGTGACTTACTTTATAACTAGAGTTTGTACTTCTTTTTTAAAAGATTTCATTTATTTTTAGAGAGGGGAAGGGATGGAGAGAAACATCAATGTGTGGTTGCCTCTCATGCCCCTCCCCATGGGGGGCCTGGCCCACAACCCAGGCATGTGTCCTGACTGGGAATGGAACTGGTGACCCTTTGTTTTACAGGCCAGCACTCAACCCACTGAGCCACACCAGCTGGGGCAGAAGTTTGTACTTATTTCCCTTCCCTTTTCCATTAAGGCTTAAGGGGGTCTAACCTAAGATTTTTATATTACCATGGTCTATCCCTCTCTCTGTCTTTTAGCTGTAGTACTAGCACTGTCATTTGTATTAGAATAGTAATTTGGCAACAGCTTCAACTGAGAAAATTTCATTCAATATTTTCTCACCAATGCCAGGTCCTATGCTAGGTGACATGGGAGAAAAATATAAATGAGTCCCTGAGCTCAAGATACTCACAATGAAAATACAACTATGATTTTAAGTCTCCATGAGCCTCTTCTCACTTCCATGGCCAAAGAGCCTGCTTAGCTTAGTGGTATTCATTATAAATCCATGAGGTCTCTCCTAAAACTTTTTTGATTTTTATTTTTAGAGAGAGAGGAAGGAAGGGAGAAAGAGGGGGGAAGAAACAATCAATGTGACAGAAACATGATCAGTTGCCTCTTGCATGTGCCCAACCTCAATGGGGAATGAACCAGTAATCCAGCCTGTGCCCTGATCAGGAATTGAACCCATGACCTTTCACTTTTTGGGATTACGCCCAAAAAGCTGAGCCACACCAAGTCAGGGTGTCTGCTAAAACTTTTTAAATATTTTTGTTTCCACTTCAGTGATACCCTAAAAGATTATCTATAAGCATATTCTAGGGCATCTGAATTGCCATCTCATATCTGAGCAGAGCTATGTGACTTCCTTGTCTGAGTTTTCATTTATGGTCACAGACTCAGCAGTATTACTCCTATTGTCCAGGATGAGAAACGAATAGAGCTGAACTACAATTTAAATGATATATCTCAGCTCTGCAGTTAAATAACCAAACAGCTTACTTGTAATGAGGAGAACTGAGTCATTATATGGTCTAGGGGAGTATTAACTTGTCATACTCAAAAAGCTCCTGCACTTTAACAATTGCTTCCATATTCTCAATACATTGGAAATTTCACAAAAATACCATGTGACTCTGAAAAACCAGCTTAGACTGGTTTTTTTGTTTGTTTTGTTTTAGTTTTAGAGTGGTATAAATGATAACAAGCTTGAACACATTTTATTAATATCACAATAAAAAAATTTATACTTTACCATATTTTATTAATATCACAATAAAAAATAAGTGTTTATTTATACAATTTATTCTTTTCTCTTAAAAAGGGTACACACACTACTCAGGTAGAGAAATAGTGACCTAGCTCTTATGCCTTGCACAGCTCATCTCTTGCTTTAATTTTTCAGAGGCCAACGTTCCATAAAACCATAAAGGTACTGTAGGCGAACACTTTGGCTTTGACAGAAAGGTCAATTGGGCACACAAACAATAATCCAATGTTTTAGGTCATCTAACCATTCTTCCAAATAGAAGAAACAGGTGATTTGGCCCACAGGAACACATAAGTGACTCTGCACATTTTCCTCATGTTTAGGAATGGTTTCCATGCTACAGGCACTCAACATCTACAGCCAATGCTTAATTCAAGAGGGGACATTATATTACTAACACTCTTTGGTATTAATGACAGCAGCCCTAAAACCAAAGGACTAGAAATAAATTTTTAATGTAGACACGCATGAAGAGAAAACATTCAAGATATCCTAAATATTGTTGAGACATAATACTAGGCTTTTCCAAGTTAAAGTATTTATACTGTAGAAATCAACACATTACACTCTGGCAAAATACTAACACATCTCAAAATAAAATTACACAGTGCACTATTGTACCTAAGTCAAAACTGAGACTGATGCAGGGGAAGACAGCCTAAACGTGGGTTCCTAAATCAAGTAATAACGAATACCACAATAAACGTTTTACTACAAATAAAAGATAACTAGTATTTCTGTAAGGACTTCAATTTTCATATATCTTTGCCTGCAAAGTCCTTTTTTGTTAACAAAGTGTGAAAAATATCCATCATAGTTTTCATTGGAATATTTCCAAATAGTAAGTTGGCCTATTATTTATGCTATAGCTGTTTTCTTCTTTTGTTTCAGTTATTTTACAAGTAATATGACAACCAAACCATCCAACTTAGGAAGAGTTAACATAGTTAAGAACATATGGAAAGGGTTTAGGTGCAACATTAACCAGAAACCCTTACAAAGTCCAAGCATTAGAACAAATCCTATCTATAATAATGCAGATTTATTTTTTTTAAAGAAAGCGTTAGAAATACTCCATAAACTATTCAGGGACAGTTTATCATGGATATCTGTGGGCCAGCCAGAAGTACCCAGAAGGACAGGGCTGCAGAAATAATTTTGGTGGAAGGGGCAAACACTATCCTAGAGAAAACGTGAAGTCCGTGTATTTGTAATTAGAGTCATACAGATTCCTGGCATATTTCCCTACAACACAAAGACATTACAAGTGAGTTTACAAAATATTCCTGTATTTCCACGAACACACTGAGCAATAAGTTTGTAAAAAATTTTAATTACAACCTTCCGATTTTTAGTCGATTACCATATGCAATCATCACTGGCTCACATTTTTGAACACACGCTGTGCTCAATACTGTGTATTACTGACGTCATTTAAGCCTCACAACCACCATATATATGAAGCAAGTACTGTTAATAATTTTACAGATTAGGAGGCTGAAGCCTAAATAGAGTTTACTAACTGACCGAGATTACACGGTCAACGGGAACAGGAACTGAATTTCCAACATTAACCCGCCCAAACACGATACTGCCTCGGGAATTACTAGCCCGCAGACAAAGGAAACTTAGTTCTTCAAGGACAAAATAAAACTTGCTAATCCAAGTGAAGGCACGAGAAAACTTAGGTTCCACGCATAAGGACTGAGTCCTGGGCCCTTATGTTATCAAGGAAAAACGTGACACATGTTCAAACTCCCAGCACATTGGCTCTAATTACCAGAGTGATTGCGGGCAGTCGATGTTGGAGTGTTCGGCCTTCACAGCCGAGACGCGTGGGCACAGCCCACTAGCTGCACCAGGCGCCAAGGGGCTGGATCCCGAGGCGCCCCTCAGCCCGCGGAGACCGGAGAACGCCCGCCAGGCCCCGCCAGGCCCCCCGCAGGCGCGGCGCAGGGCCTCCCGGGCTCCCCGGGCGGCTCCCCAAGCCGCTCCCCGCACACTCACCTTCTGTTCCTCAGCGGAGGCTGCCTCGGGGACTTCCGCGGACATACTGCTTCCTCTGCGGACGAGACGCCGGGGAAAGATGCAATTACCGGGTGGCCAGGCTGCCCGGCCGCCCCGCCGCCTCAGGCCCGCCCGTTCCCGCTCCCACTCCCCGACCACCGGCCCGGGCCGCCTCCGCCCGTGGCAATGGCCGCCACCTTATGACAACACAGAGTGCCGTGGCGCTCGGCGATACCCGGCCGCCGCCGACCGGCCACCCGTTCCGCGCCGCGCCCTAGCCTACCTCTGCACCGCTTCTCCAGCTCTGCGACTCTGAAGCACTTCCTTTCTTCCTTCAAAGGTCGCGGCTGGCGCCTCACCTCACATCCGTCTGCCGAATGCTTTCTGGGAGTTGTAGTTTCTCGGTGGAGCTGCCGCTCCCCGCCCCAGACTCTCCTGGTTCCTTGCACCTGCTCCTCGCCTTGGGCTGTGCTGCCGCGCAGAGTTTGTCTTGGGCGCCTCAGACGTCTGTGCTGCTTTCCCAGCACAGAGGAAGTCTCTCCCGTCGGCTTCATCTAATTGCCCCTGTTTATGTTAGACATTCCCTGTCCTACGTCATTGCTTCAAGAAAGCTCATTCCTGAGCCCGTCCACCAGGTCAGGTCCACCTCCTAAATGCTATCACATCTCTGTATAGTTCAACACACATTATATCATTACGGAGTAGTTATCACTTTATTAATGTCACCTTTTCTGCTCAGATAAGCCACATCAGGGCAGGAGTCTTGTTTATATTTGCTTATATTTCACCCCAGAGCCCAGTATTTCTTAGACATTCAGTAAGTACCTAAGGAATTCAACTTTCCTTCATTTGTCTGTTCCCACACCTTCACTGAAACTGCTGGCGACAAACTCCTCCCATGACTTTAACTGCCAAATCCTTTGGCTTTATTTCTAATCCTCACTCTACTAGCTATCTGAATAGCTACTGGCAATACCTGGTCGTTCCAATGAAGTGTTTCTCAGAAACCTGGTAATAAGATTGTTTTCTAAGAGTTAAACAAGTGAGAAGCAACAGATAATGGCTGCAGTTCTGTGGGAATTTGGAAACCATCAACACTCAACCGGGTTGTCCTGGGTAGATTCTCAGACTGGAAGAATTGTACTAAGATTAGAGCTTAAAAAACAAGAATTATACTACACTCCTTTTGTAGAAAAGGAGAGGTTTGGTGAGGAGGTATTTAAACTCCAAGGGTTCAAGAGGTGAACTCTTTGGCAAAAATATCCCTTGAGAGTGCCTTAAGCCGTGTCAGCTGAGAAACTGTGAGATCAACTAAATATTAGTTCTCATTCCATATTCACAAAGTAACTTACAAAAAATTTGTCTTTTTTAACGCAAAACTGCAGGGAGGAAACAATGCACTGGGTAGGCTAACTGAATCATCTAACACTTGTATTTTTGTTAATAAATTGGTGTTCTGGTATATATACTATAAAATGTATTTGTGAGCTTGGGTTAAAGTCTGATAGACACACATATATAAAAATCAGTTTATGTGGCCTTGGGTAAAGAGAATTTGTTCCTGAAAGAAAATGACACTTGCCTGAAGACAGATTTAAATTTCTGGGAGGCTGTATAATAGGGATACCAGAAGGAGAACAAGAGGAGCAAGGGATAGAAAACCTGTTTGAAAAGGTAATGATGAAAAACTTCCCTAATTTGAGGAGAGAAAAAGTCACACAAGTCTAGGAAGCACAGAGGGTCCCATTCAAGAGGAACCCAATGAGGCCCACTCCAAGATACATCATAATTAAAGTGGCAAATAGAAAAGACAAACAGAGAATCTTAAAGGCAGCAAGGGATAAACAGCTAGTGACATACAAGGGAGCCCCGATAAGGCTAGCAGCTGACTTTTCAACAGAAACACTACTAGTCAGAAGGGAATGGCAGGAAATATTCCAAGTAATAAAAAAGAAAGGCCTGCAACTAAGACTACTCTACCTGGCAATGCTCTCAGTTAAAATGGAAGGTGAAATAAGGAGTTTCCCAGACAAAAGAAGGCTAAAAGAATACATCTCCACCAAAACAGCATTGCAAGATATGCTAAAGGGGCTGTTTTAAGAACATGAAGAAAAAGAATTAGAAAGAGAGGAACACAGGTACAAGGAAAAAATGAATAAATACCTATCAATAATAACATTAAATGTAAATAGATTTAATGCTCCCATCAAAAGACATAGGGTAGCTAAATGGATGAGAAAACATGACCCACACCTATGCTGCCGACAAGAGACTGACCTCAGAACAAAGGACCTACACAGACTGAAAGTAAAGGGATGGAAAAAAATATTCCAAGCAAATGAAAAGAAAAAAAAAGCCAGGATAGCAATATTTATACCATACAAAATAGATTTTAAAACAAATGCCATAAAAAGAGACACAGAAAGACTCTACATAGTACTCAAAGGAAGAACCCATCAAGAAGACATAAATATTGTAAACCTATATGCACCCAACATAGGAGTACTCAAATATATAAGGAAAATCTTGGAGGACTGCAAGAAAGCTATAGATAGCAATACACTGATAGTAGGGGATTTTAACACCCCACTGTCAACAATGGATAACTCTTCCAAACAAAATATCAACAAAGATATTATGGAACTAAATGATGCATTAAATCAAATGGACTTAACTGATATATATAACATTTCATCCCAAAGAAGCAAAATACAAATTCTTTTCAAATGCACATGGAAGATTTTCAAAGATAGACCACATGATAGGACACAAAACAAGCCTCAACAAATTCAAGAAAATTGAAATCATAACAAGCATTTTCTTAGACCACAAGGGCTTGAAACTAGAAACCAGCCTCAAGGAAAAAAACTCAAAAACATCCAAACTCACAGAGACTGAATAGCATGCTATTAAACAATGAATGGGTCAATAATGAGATCAAAGAAGAAATCAAAAAGTTTCTGGAAACAAATGAAGATGAGCACAGAACAGTCCAAAATCTATGGGACACAATGAAGGTAGTCCTGAGAGGAAAGTTCAGAGCAATACAGGCCTACCTAAAAAAGATAGAAACATTTCAAATAAATGACCCTACATTTTCAAGAACTGGAGAAACAACAACAAAGCCCAGAGCGAGTAGAAGGAAGGAAATTAAGATCAGAGCAGAAATGAATGACATAGAGACTAAAAGAACAATTTAAAGGCTCAATAAATCCAGGAGCTGGCTCTCTGAAAAGATAAACAAAATTGACAAACCTTTAAGCAGGCTCATCAAGAAAAAAAGGGAGAGGGCTCAAATAAGTAATATCAGAATAGCAAGAGGAGAAATTACAACTGATACCACAGAAATACAAAGGATTGGAAGACATTACTATGAACAATTATATGCCAAGAAATTTGAAAACCTCGATGAAATGGCCAAATTTATAGAAAAATATAACCTTCCAACACTGAATGAAGAAGCAGCAGAAAGCCTAAACAGACTGATAACAGCTGGTGAAATTGAAGCAATAATCAAAAAACTCCCGGCACACAAAAGCCCTGGACCAGACAATTTCACAGGAGAATTCTACAAAACATTTAAGGAAGAGCTAACCCCTGTATCCCACAACCAGACAAAGACACAACAAAGAAAGAAAACTATAGGCCAATATTGCTGATGAACATAGATGCCAAAATGCTCAACAAAATATTGGCAAACCGCATCCAGCAATACATTAAAAAGATCATCTACCATGATCAAGTGGGATTCATCCTGGGGATGCAAGGATGGTTCAATATTTGCAAATCAATAAATGAAATACGTCACATAAATAAAAGGAAAGATAAAATCACATGATCATATCATTAGATGCAGAAAAAGCATTTGATAAAGTACAGCACCCATTTCTGATAAAAACATTCAGTAAAGTGGGAGTAAAGGGGGCATATCTCAATATAATAAAGGCCGTATATGAAAAAACCTACAGCCAACATCATACCCAATGGGCAAAAACTAAAAGCTTTCCCACTAAGATCGGGAACAAGATAAGGATGTCAGTTTTCACTACTTCTATTCAACATAGTATTGGAAGTCCTAGCCACAGTGGTCAGACAAGACAAAAGAAATAAAAGGCATCCAAATTGGAAGGTGGAAGTAAAACTCATGTTTGCAGATGACATGATAGTGTACATAGAAAACCTCACAGACCCACCAAAAAACTACTCAACCTAATTTAAGTGAATTTGGCAAAATGGCAGGATACAAAGTCAATATTCAGAAATTGAAGGAATTTTTGTACACCAACTACGAAATATAAGAATCAGCAATCAGGGAAAAAAATCCCATTTGATACAGCAACAAGAAAAATAAAGTACCTAGGAATAAACTTAACCAAGGAGGTAAAAGACTCAGAAAACTACACAATGCTAAAGAAAGAAATTAAGGAAGACACAAATAAATGGAAGCATATACCGTGTTCCTGGACTGGAAGAATTAACATCATCAAAACGTCCATACTACCCAAAGCAATTTATAGATTTAATGCAATCCCTGTTAAAATACCAATGACATATTTCACAGATATAGAACCAACATTTCAAAGATTTATATGGAACCATAAATGACCCCGAATAGCTGCAGCAATTTTGAGAAAGAAGAACAAAGTAGGAGGGATCACAATGCTTGACATCAAACCATATTACAAGGCCGCTGTAATCAAAAGAGTCTGGTACTGGAATAAGAACAGACCCATAGATCAATGGAACAGAATAGAAATCCCAGAAATAAACCCATAACTCTGTGGTCAGTTAATATTCTATAAAGGGGACAGAAACATAAAGTGGAGTAAAAATAGCCTCTTTTACAAATGGTATTGGGAGATCTGGACAGCTACATGCAAAAAAATGAAATTTGACCACCAGCTTACACCATACACAAAAATAAACTCACGATGGATAAAAGACTTAAATATAAGTCACAACACCATAAAAGTCCTAGAGGAGAACATATGCAGGAAACTCTCAGATATCCCATGCAGCAATATTTTCACCAATATATCCCCTAGAGCAAGGGACATAAAGAAAAGAATAAACAAATGGGACTTCATCAAAATAAGAAGCTTCTGCATGGCTAAAGAAAACATCAGCAAAATGAAAAGGAAAAAAACCATATGGGAAAATATATTCGCTAATGATACCTCAGACAGGGGTTTGATCTCCAAAATATATAAAGAACTCACATGACTTTACTCCAGAAAGACAAACAGTCCAATTAAAAAATGGGCAAAGGACCTGAACAGACATTTCTCCAAGGAGGACATACACAGGGCCCAGAGACATATGAAAGGATG